GGGGGGGGGGGGGGGGGAGAGAGGCGAAGCGTTTAATTGCGAGACGTTGGGCCAGCAAAGGAGGACAGCCGCTTAATTTACCGGCATTCCAGGCATGTAGATTAGCCGGGGCGAACGTGTGCACCTGCTGGCCGACCTGTCGTCGTCCTCGTCGCGTTCAGCGACGCGCCGGAAACTGGTTAGCCGCATTAAACCGAGTCGCCGCGCATTTATTAACAGCACTCGAGAACCGCGCTGCTCTCCGCATCACCTGCCCCCTAACGAATTTCCATCGATTACACGATAATTCCGTCTATTAATTGCGCCGCTTTCTTCTCTCTCTCTCTCTCTCTTTCTCTGTGTGTGTGTGTTTTTAAGTTTGTCGAAGAACGCGTGGCGAATCGATTGCGGTGCCACGCGAGACTAATGCGTCGCGACACGCCTCGACGAGCCTGAAATTATTTTCCACGCCTCGTTTGCCACGTTTAGCCAGGAGAATTCGGTTTCGTTTTGAATCTCTTTAGCAAGCTTCGACACACTCGGAAGCAATTGGATTTGTAACAATTGTTGGACTATTGGAGGATGATCCAGGCTCTTGTTCGATTCTTACAGGCTCTTCGTTTCTCGAATTTCCTTCGATCGTTTTCTTTTTTTTTTTTTTTTTCTAATAGTGGTCATTCGACTGTGACTTAATTTCGATCGGATTTGAGTTATGTTTCATCCACGATGCACGAATCATCTGACAGAATAGACAGATATTTAGCAATCTGTTATTTATATTATTTTTTTGTTGAAGAAATTGTGAAATTGTCGTTCAATTGTAAAATTATATGTAATAACAATGTTATTAATATTATATGCAATTAATTATAAAATTATATGCAATTACGATATTATTAATATTATACGCAATTAGTCATAAAATTATATGCAATTACGATATTATTAATATTATGCGCAATTAATTATAAAATGAAAGGAATTATCAAAGTATTTAGTTGTAAAATTAAATATTAAAGAAATTATAAAATTGAATGTAATTGCAAAATTTACCATGATAATACCTATGAATTAAAAGAATTATCAAAGTATTCAGTTGCAAAATTAAATATTAAAGAAATTATAAAATTGAACGTAACTGCAAAATTTATCATAGGTCCATCCATGATAATACCTAT